AAGCTACTTTAGCATTTTTTCCCCAAGGCTAAACACTATTGACAATACTAAATATTTTTAGTGCATGAGAAGTTTGCTAACAATGAGAGTATAAGGTTGAGAACTGGATGAAAATTACAGAATAAATGATAATACCAATCGTCAGCTATCTTCAACAAAACACCCTTTGCATATCTTTGATGCTTTCAGAGATTAGCATCAAAAATTATTAATACAAGAGGGCACAAGGAATTCAACCTTGACTGTTGCCAGTTTACACCTATCTATGTGACTCTGAGTTCTTAAAATATTGTGACACAATGAAAAAAATTCCTTGGATGTTGTAGAGGGAAAAAATTATAAGCCCTACCCGTTCTTAAATGAGAAACTATAATTTTCAATATTACTTTATTTAGCCCAAGATTCCTTAAGTCTTGTATTTTCTGATTTAGCTTTGGCTAACAGAATCATGCTTGAAGCTCGAGACTGCCAGCTTTCAATAGACTATTGCTATAGAAGCTAGTGAAACTCTCTGGGAAAGTAAGAGGATGTTGTTAGAGGTGCAGTGTGAGCCAGGACAGAGTAAAATGTGGTCTTTAAGAAAACGTTGTTAGATAAAAATGAAGGCTCAGAACATTTGCAAGGATATAAATCTTAACCCATTTGTTGGAGGTGGAGGCTCTGGTGTCAGATTTACATCTGTTCTATGTGTTGTAACCACAAAATTGTACTCGCTGGATTAATTGTAAGGAATCCCCTTTAAGACATCCAGACTTCCAAAGTTTATGTACTAATTAGTTGTCAGGGAAAGCTGCATTCAGGCCAGGGTTTGTAATGCCTTTTGTATATAAAGCACCTTTCTTTTGGCACTGAATTAACGAGTGACTATATAACATTCATTTCTCTAAAAGCAGCATAGGAGACATTCTATAATGTTGAATCTGCTATGTAGTATTTATGCTCTTCTGCTCAGTTTTTCAAAACGAATAGAATCAGTGCAATTCAAATCCATTAATCATCAAGACATAGCCTGAGTGTCTGAGATTATAAGTAGTTATAGGACCAGATATTTAAGAAGTAAAGCCTTTGACGTTGCAGGGTTGTAAACAATTTTTTTCTCATCTTAATTTCCCAGAAAAAAGCAGTTCTGTATAAGGGAATAATATGCTTTTTTGATATGAAAGTTTCAAACTACACATATTGTTCTTCATCCCTACATATTCCCTGCCTCCCAGACATCTCCTCCCACCTCCCTTTCAACAAGCATCTTAATTTGGCATCTGATGGTTTAAAATAGTTTCTGTAAACTAATCCTGAATAAGATGCATTTTAAAGCGTAAACAGTTATGCAATAAATAAACACTTGTTGAAATGTTTATTGAACCAACATAGTCTGTTTGAGAAAAGATATGCAAAATTAAGTTCCCCATGGGGAAAGATCACAGTTTAAAAACTCTGACCATTAGAGATAATCATGGTTGGTGTTTTTTTTAAATTTTATTTATTTTTTCCTCCCAAAGCCCCAGTAGATAGTTGTATGTCATAGCTGCACATCCTTCTAGTTGCTGTATGTAGGACACAGCCTCAGCATGGCCGGAGAAGTGGTGCGTCGGTGCGCGCCCGGGATCCGAACCCTGGCCGCCAGCAGCAGAGCGCGCGCACTTAACCGCTAAGCCACAGGGCCGGCCCTCATGGTTGGTGTTTAGGGAACATTTTTTGGGGGACAAAACCAACTCTATACACTGAGATTCCGAACTGAGAAAACTATCAGATGAAATAGCAGGAAGCAAAAAACTTATTTTATTAGAATTCCATTTTCTGGGAGGAAAATTAGAATTGCAGAACCATTTAATGAAAACCTTAGTTTTACTGGAGATTCGGATATTCACTGACATGACATATGACAAACCTTAGATGGAATCATTAACTGTCTCTCAGAAATTATGTATTTCACAAATTTTGCTAATTTAAATAACACAAGTATCACATAGACACATCATAATCATGCCAGAGCAATTTTACCATTTTACATGTATGTGAGTACTAACGATCTTTAGTATCTGGATGTATTCCAGGTCACAGAGCAAAAGAAAATTTTTACTTTTGGTGTGTTTTAAGTAGGGTTACATGTCTAGCTCCTTTTGGGTAACATATGTCTGCTCAAATAATTAACACTATTGGATATTATTCCCTCAAAGCAAATGTCTATTGACCCTGTACTCTAGGAAGAAATAAAAAAATAACAAAAGAAATGTAATTGCAATCTAATTTCATTGAGATTCTTAGAATCCCTACTTCTGAATACTAGCTAGCCCCATACTGCTATTATACAAATACTTTTCTTATCACTTAAAGTTCTCTCTTAGGAATGTCTTTAGTTAGGGGTAAAAAGTCTTACAAAGAAACTGTTCAAATTATCAAAACATTGTGATCTAAGTCTTTCATCATACCCTGTAATGATTACCTTTATTATACTTTAAGACAGACATTAGGGCCGGCCCTGTGGCTTGGTGGTTAAGTGCGCGCGCTGCGATGCTGGTGGCCCGGGTTCAGATCCCGGGTGCGCATCGAGGCACCACTTCTCCGTTCATCCTGAGGCCGAGTCCCACATACAGCAACTAGAAGGATGTGCAGCTACGACATACAACTATCCACTGGGGCTTTGGGGGGAAAAATAAAATAAATAAAATCTTCAGACAGACATTGTCTCTTTGTATGGGTATACAAAATATAGTATTACTCAAATTTACAAAAAATTAAAGTTTATAATCTCAAGAAGCATATTACTTTGGGGGAAATAAAGGTTATTGTCAATGATTGCTGGCATATCTGAAATTTAAAAAAAAAAAAAAACTGTTCAATAAAGGATGTCAACATTTTACTAAGCAAAAGATGCCTGCTTCTCTTCCCACAAAAGCCAAACGGAAAACAAGAAGTGTTACTAACATTTTCTATTTATTCATTAATAAAAAGTGCATAGTACAAGCCCTTTATCCCAATCCAAGTACTCAGTGAAAGATTACAATAAACCCTGGATGGCACAGACATGATTTGTTTGGCATGATTTAAACATTTAAAAACAGCAATTAACATTAAGTATATCACATGACCACTTCTGCCTTTAACAAAGCAATCATCAGACATGGTTACAAATAAATGATTTTTTCATTGAGAAATATTATAATGGTAAGACTAAATCTACTATTGCAACAACAAAAATTTAACTCATTAACTGTAAACTCTCTTCATTTCTCCTTCAAGTTGCTATTTTGGGTCTTAAGTTGAGCTGGTCAAATTTCAGCACATATTGATTTAGAGTGACAGACTTTCATTCAGAGTGATGGACTTCCAAGGTTCCTTTGAAAATATAAGACATTGGTAATTCCATAAACACTATCACATCACATACCACAAAGACACTAAAAGTAACAGTGGAACAGCTGTACTTAATAGTTACTTCAGAAAATCTCTGGAAGTTGTTTAAAATATGACTTGCTGACCATGGGATAGTGCTTGGATAGGTACATGATAAAATCTCTTACTATACACAGTTCCAATGTTAAATTTTTCCATATGGAAAGCAAAAAAACTATTTTGCATAAAAGAACATTAAATGACTCTAAAACAAAATAAACTCTTAATGGCATTTGTGGAATGTTTAAGAGCCAAAAGTGATTAAAATGTGAAGATTTATCTTTCCTTTTTCCAGCTTATTTAAAAATGATTGTAGCCACAGTTCAGGTGAATGTTTACAAGCCAAGTAATGAATAAGGGTGTGCTCAATAAAAAGGCCACATGTAGAAGCTTTAAGAATATAATAGAATAATATAAATTACTAGTTAGATTAATAGGAATACTTTATGTGCAGTAGTACACTGTCTTTGTCAGGAATGTAGAGAAATTTTACAAGCAAAAAAACCAAGACTAAATACTTGACTAAGAACATTTGTTACTAATTAAACATAAGGACCATATAGGAAAAGGTTAATATTCTACACGTAATGTCAATTAAGTGTATGTGACAGAAATGAAAAACTAGGAATAAGAATCCAGATTTCCAGGTCTCTAGCTAACATTAGACATTCTGTTTCCATGTCACAGCCACTTCTTCAACCAAAGCCAATTCTCAATTATTTGTGAGCTGTAGATTCAGTATCTCTGCAGAGACTGGCTTTCTAGCAGCTTAGAGAACAGTTAGGATACACGTGCAAGCCTTCAAATTTCAGGAGGCAAGGGCAGAAAAGGAATGCTGATAGGGATTTAGCTCCATCTTATGCCATTCCTGCCTTTTTCTGCTTTAAATATGGTAACAGTTATAGAGCTGAGAAGGCTTCCAGTAGGCCAAAGCAAGAGCAAAAACCTTAAGTCTATGGTGTTCATATATCCAAGATTTGACTTACCTGTGTTACGATACCCCTCAATTAGCACAAGTAATTAAGAGTAGGTTATATTATTTCAAGAAGTTGAGCACAAAGCCAAGATGTACAAGAGGAATGCAAGCAGTCAATATCGGATTATATAACGAAATGAAGCCCTTACAATGTTTATGGCCTAGAATGTAATCATAATAAAGGGGAAAAAAATACCCTACGAGCATCACACAATTGTATCAGAGACTATTAAACAGTACAATGATATAGAGAAGTTTATTCAATTCATACAAGTAATTTTTCATATCTATACAGTGTAAAGCTAGACTGATCTAGGGGGAAAAAGATCCTTACATTGATAGCAAAATACCTTCTAGCCCCTATAAAGCATATGCAATCACCTGCTAGGAAAAAATTCCATAACCACATAGGTCCTGCAGACTTTTATGCCATTTGTATTCATTTTCTTTCAAACTGAGCAAAATAATGCAACCTTTTACTTTTTTATACATTTTAAAATTTTACTTATATTAATGCTCCTCCCCACCCCAGTCCATCCCATTATCAAACAAGAACGAGATAAGGGGTGAGAAAAAGATCCTTGATTGTTTCTCATTTTCCTTCTTTCCCTTGGAGTAAACCAAGAATTCAAAAGTCAGAAGGATAACAAAAGACTCAAATTTTTTTCTTCAGAAAAAAAAGAGTAAATAAGTAAATAGCATTCAAATGTCCGTAACCAAACAGGCCCCAATACAGCTTTAAAAGTTTCACTTAACAGAGAAGTATTACAACAGAAAAGAAGCTTCCTGAGAGGCACCCATTTTACAAATAAATTATAGCTTAAATTATTACTGTATAGATTATATCTGGCAAAGGCAGAAAGAATTAACTTTTTTCCTCTTTTCATAAACCTTGTAAAGCTAGTGTACAGTGGCTTACAAATGTCATATAATGGACTGTAAATTATCTACCATATTTAAAACTTTTCTTAATATCAGACATTTTTATGGGAGTAAAAATCCTAGTGAACAACTATTTCATTTCTTCTCTCCTCCTTTTCTAGCCATATAAGCCAGTTGTACAGGTTGATACAGATTTCAGCTGTAACTTGTAACATATTCCAAAGGCTGCCACAGTCCTAAGAACTACAGAAAACTGCCACCCACAAATAAACTACCAAGGTAAGTGTCAATACAGTGTGGTTCTAATTTTCTTTCATACAATCTCAGACAACCCTAAATAACTTTATAAATACCTTATAAAAAAAAGCAATTTTAAAACCTATCAAAACTGTTTAAAATATTTAAATGCAGAGATCTCAAATTTCCTTCAATCAGGCCAGAAATCATCACAAAAATTATGATCACAGTTACAAATAGAATGAGTGGAATGTTTAAGTTTAGGATAACCAAAAAAAGCTCCATGTAACTTTTTTTAATATAATCATTTACTCAAATATACTGTAAATAGGAAAGGTGATAATACAGGAAGCAAAAATAAGCTTGCAAGTGAAATTTCTAGAAGCTCATGAAAACAATATCATCCCATATTGCAGATGCAAAATGAAAAACAGTTCTAATGGGGTTAAGAGTACTCTGGTTCATCTTCGTTCATTTGGTCGTGCAAGGTGTTAACTATTTTCACTTCCCATATCACAAAGTTAGTCCACAGGAGGAGCTGGTGGATCTTGTCCCTGGCATTATTAGAAAGAGAGAAATTATGGAATTGACTTCTTAAATCCCAGAGCAACCAATCTAACACATATAGTAAGAAGTGAGCAGCAATGCCTCCCAGCCTCCCATCCCAAATCGTATACTTATTTGAACTTTTCATATGTTTTTGCACAAGTAAACACTAGATTAACACTGTGAGTCACCAACATTCTGTCTCATTCTTCCTATGGTATAGAAGAAAGGAAAATTGTGTAACAGTGATATGATTTGGGTGAGACTGCTCTCCCTGACAGCTCCAGAGGTGATCGTTAAACCAATAAAGGTAGTCTCATCTCTCTTGCTAAGGTGACTGATTGAGCCCAGATACAATCAAAGTGAAGCTAGAGACTTTTGTTTCTCACTACAGAATGTCAATGAGGGGGCCGGCCCCATGGCTTAGCAGTTAAGTGCGCACGCTCTGCTACTGGTGGCCCGGGTTCAGATCCCGGGCGCGCACCGAAGCACTGCTTTCCGGCCATGCTGAGGCCACGTCCCACATACAGCAACTAGAAGGATGTGCAACTATGACATACAACTACTGGGGCTTTGGGGAAAAAAAGGAGGAGGATTGGCAATGGATGTTAGCTCAGAGCCGGTCCTCCTCAACAAAAAAAAAGCGGAGGATTAGCACGGACGTTAGCTCAGGGCTGATCTTCCTCACAAAAAAAAAAAAAAAAAAGAATGTCAATGAGGAAAGCATGCCGCTCCAGTTGCTATTGTCAGCCTTCCTGTGACCACAAGGGGAGCCCACCTTGGAATGAAGCTGGTGGTATGAGGAAAGAAACTAGGTCTTGGATGACACTGTTAAACTTTCTAAACACTGACCCTACCTCTGGATTTTCTGATGTGTAAACCAATAAAGACACTTATTTAAACCAGGTTGAGCTGATTTTTGTTACTTGCAATAGAAAGCATCTGAACAGTAAAGGAAAGATCAAAGCTTTTAGGAATCTTCAGGAAGATTCCATTTTATTTACTCTGTCATGCTATATGAGGCCCTAGTTGAGGGTGATCAATTTTTCTACTCGGAATTAGTCGATACATTTTCTTGCTTATTCCTAGGGCAATAGGATTATTACTCCTAGAACCGCCGGCCTACAATGAACTAAGGCCCAGAGGACTGTAATCCTGCATTCCTGTCACTTTTAATGGCTGGTAAGTCAGGTTATTAAGTTGGATTTCTTTAGCTCCAAAAACTGAAGAAACTGCTTGCTTTTTTTTTTTGAGGAAGATTTGCCCTGAGCTAACATCTGTTGCCAATCTTCCTCCTTTTTTCATTTTCTCCCCAAAGCCCCAGTAGATAGTTGTATATCATAGTTGTACATCCTTCTAGTTGCTCTATGTGGGACGTCACCTCAGCATGGCTGATAAGCAGTGAGTAGGTCCGTGCCCAGGATCCGAACCGATGAACACCAGGCCGCCCAAGTGGAACGTGCAAACTTAACCACTATGCCACCGGGCCGGCCCCAAGAAATTGCTCTTTGATAAGAAAGTAATAAGAACTGTACATAGAAAGTAAGAAAAAAGGCTAAGGAAAAAGTACTTTATCAAGACTATATGCAGGGCCGGCCCCATGGCTTAGCGGTTAGGTGCGCGCGTTCGGCTGCTGGCAGCCCGGGGTTCAGATCCCGGGTGCGCACCAACGCACCGCTTCTCCGGCCATGCTGAGGCCGCGTCCCACATACAGCAAGTAGAAGGATGTGCAGCTATGACATACAACTATCTACTGTGGCTTTGGGGGGAAAAAATAAATAAATAAAATCTTTAAAAAAAAAAAAAAGACAATACGCAATCTGCTTTATGGAACCCCCCTCTCCAAGAAAAACCAAAAATAAATTTAAGGCTTTTTATATAGTGCTAATGATGCCTTCTTTCTTAATTAATGTCAGCATGCTATATATCTTAATGTTCTACTCCCAAAAAAGCAAAAGCACTGACCAATTAACACTGCACATTTGCTTTCTCCTATATAAGAAATTAGTCTAACTGAACTTCTAATATTAACAACACAAGACTAGGGAAACGAAGCAAGTATTTTAGGAATTCACATGGTGAAGGCTGGAGAAGGGAATTAGTGGGATAATTTGGTGTTCAATAAATGAATCCATCAGGGAAATATTTTTAAAGAGATGATCTCCAAATCAAATGGAAAAGAAAACATACATAAATACTGGCTCTGTGAAAACAATTAAAAGGAATCCTTTAATAGAGGCTCTATTAAAGACAGTAATGAAAACTCCCTGTTGGGTCACTTTATCTATCATGTTTTTCATTTAGAAGGTTCTATAAATGGTTGTAATCATAACTATCAGGATTTATCAACATGAATGATTCCTACCTCTCCTTTTGCCAGCTCACTTGATCTACTGTGATGCGGAACTAGAAAAATGAGTTTGAGAGAAACAGGATGGGAAAACAGGATTTAGCCAGATAGGCTCAGTGTCTCTACTGCACTTAAATAGCTAGGACAGAAGAGGAGAAAATGAAGTAGGGGGAAAACATTTGAACTGTAGCTTGTAAGAGAATTTAGGGAGCTATTAGCATGAGAGGCAAGGGATCAAGTCTGAAGTGGATAGAAGTGGATTTAAGAAATATTGCAGTGGATTATGAACTGGATCATTTTTTATGTTTCTCATGTGAGTAAAGACTGGAATTCATTTATTTTGGGGGTACTAGTCTGTGCTTCTTTCTACATGTAACTCCACGAAGACTAAGTCATTTGGGGTTGCAAGATTTACTAGGACTACATAGGAAGAACTTAACTCCATGACTTAAATCTTCTGTTGCTAATTCAGATATTTCAGTCAAAATAACTCCTCCCTCTTCCCAGGCCATGTCCATCCCCCTACCCAAATGGATTTCTAATCCATAACACTTACATTATGAGGACTGGTTGGCTTTCCAGTTAGGTTGGATCCTCTTAGATTAGGAGGTCTCAGTAGAAACAAGATCACTGCAATAACCATCCAGGCCATCAAGATCATGGTAATACTGATGCCATTATCACCAGAGGGTCCTGGTACTAAAGACAAACAAAAAAATGTATTTGCAACAAAAACTGTAGCATGAGGTTATAATATTGTTAGATAAAGGTAACAAATTCTAATGTTTAAATGTCAACTTCAAATATTGTATTAATATCAAAAATTGTAATAATAATTTTAAGAAGTGCAATTATGAAGTATTACAGCTTCAACTTCCCCTTCCTCCTGTGAGAAAATCTAAATGGTAAATGGTGTAAAACAGTCATAAGCCAAAGCCTATTAAATAAAGATTTTAATAGTGTAGTAGTTCTTAATATTTGGGAGTAATACAATTCCTTGAGAATTTGATAAAATTAAGAACTCTTTCCACTGTAAGAATCCACATATACACATTCAACAATTTTGCATATAACTGTGAAAGGTTCATGGACCCACAAAGCCACCAATCCACAGATATACTGAGATCTACAGAACCCAGGTTAAGATTCACCTGATACACAGTAAAGACACTCTACTTTGGCGGGGGTAGAGGTGGGGTGAGGAGGGTGGGGTGGATTCTGCATTTTAATTACAGAAGCAGCATGAAAAAATAACAGAACTTAAGGAAAAGGGAACATCTGGGTTGTATAATATATAAATTAAAGATTGCTTTAATGATATTGTCAACCAAAGAGAGGTTAATTTAACCTTCTTTTTTGCAAAAACAAGTTGGATTCAAATCTAGATATTTTAAAGTCTATGCATTTATCAAGAGAAAAATGTCAGGTCTGTGTGTGTGTAGGTTATCAGTCTTTCCCAGCTCCTTGAAGCAGCCATATCCTATTCAATTCAGAATAACAAGTACCTAGCACAGTGTTTGGCCCATGGTATGCGCTTAGTAAATTTCTAATAAATGAAACAGATTTTTTATTGAAGTATATTAGAGAACTCAACTGTCAGAAATGAAAATTATGGAAAATTAGATTTCTTTTTTTTTTAATAATTTATTTTTTTCCCCCCCAAAGCCCCAGTAGATAGTTGTATGTCATAGCTGCACATCCTTCTAGTTGCTGTATGTGGGACGCGGCCTCAGCATGGCCGGAGAAGCCGTGTGTCGGTGCGCGCCCGGGATCCGAACCCGGGCCGCCAGCAGCGGAGCGCGTGCACTTAACCGCTAAGCCACGGGGCCGGCCCGGAAAATTAGATTTCTAAAGAAAAAAAAATATCTCTAGATGGTTGCTAAAATAGCTTGTCAAGACTACAACTGTTTGATTTTGGTCTCCCTGCCTCAGGAAAAAGTAAAAGAAATCCAGATAAGATGTTGAAATTAAGCTGATATATTGCATTGAGGTCCAATGGCCCAGGCTCACTCCCAAAAAAGGAAAGAGAATGGGTGGCACTACTGAGGCCAAAGAGTTCGTAACCAAAGGGGACAAAGTCAAGCAAAGAGCTGAGCTGGCTCAAGAGTAAGCTGGATAGGAATGCAGACTTGGTTCCAACTCAATCACGTCCCCAGAAACAGCTAACACAGTACTCAGGGTCACCAAAGTTTGCATTACTTATCACACAATACATCAGCATTTTTTTCCCTCTATATCCATATCCATTCCTTTCCTTGTTCCCTCCTATTTTACTAAATGTGCCTCCCTTCATAACTAAGACCAATTTCTCCACTTGAGCTTTGGATCCCATTGTTCTTGCAGAGATCTATCCATTTGCCTCTCTGTCTCTTGTGTATTCAACACCTCTTTCTCTATTGTAGCCATCCCATAATCACTTAAACATGATCAAGTTTCTCCCATTTTTGGAAAAAAAATCCCTCCCTCAACCCCTTTCCCTGTCCAACTTTCAAAGCTAACATCTTGAGAATTGTCTTCATTTACTGTCTATACTTCACTGCCTCCCATTCACTCCTCTGGTTGGTATCCAGAGCTCCATCATCATTCAAACAGCTCTTTAAAAGGTCACCTATAATACCTCCAAGCTGCTAAGTCTAATGGGTAATTTTTAGTCCACATTTTCCATGATCTTCCTTTCCTTTTAAAAACACTTTCATCCTTTGTCTTCTGTGCCATTACTGCTACCTGATTTTCTTTCAAACACTTAGCCACTCCTTTACATGCTCGTTTTCCTCTTCCTGGCTTTTAAAATTTGGAATTCCTCATGGTCAATTTTAGGTTCCTTTCTCTTTTTGCTCTATACACTATCATCCTCACCTGTGGCTTCATTTACCTTCTATATGCAGATCACACCTAAATTTATACCCAGCCCTGACTCCTCTGAACTTTAGACCCAAATATCCAACTATCTATCTACATCAATAGCTCTCTATTTTTTTTTTGTCTTCACATCAACAGTTCTTAAACTATGATGTACATTAGAGCCATTCAGCAGCTTCTTAAAAATGCAGATGACTAAATCCCACCTTGCACTTAATACACTCAATATCCCAAACTAAAATCACGAGCATATCTCCCTGCTCCATCTTCCATGCCCCACCAAATTGGGTCTCCACTCATCCTGCTGGTTAGGCCAGAAGCCTATGAAAACACCTTTGGTTCTCTCCCAGTGACCCTCTATTTAATCTACCATGAAATTTCTGTCCATTTTACTTCCTAAATATCACTCAAATCTGTCTACTTCTGGCGCCACTCCCACACTTGCTCATCACCTCTTGTCCAGTCTACTGCGATGGCCTTAACTGATCTCCCCATACCTGCTCTTGTCTCCTCTAATTCTGTCCTCTATACTGCTGCAAGAGTGGTGTTTTTTAAACAAGCAAATACTATCTATTATTTTTATTACTAAATAATAGCTAAAATTTGAGTGGCTACTTTGAACCAGACATTATCTCTCTTAACCCTTTTAATAGTTTTAGTTTATGGTAGTACTATCATATCTTCATTTTATAGATAAGGAATCTGGGGAAGAGAGGGGTTAAATCCCAATGTCATACAGTTGGTATGTGACAAAGCTGGGATTTAAATACAAGTAGTCTTATTCCAGAGCCTGTTCTCTTAACCTCTTTGCTATGTCATAATTTCTGACAACATCACATAATGAGACAGACCCCTGAAAATTATGAGTCCTGTGGGTAGTCAAATTGGAAAATACAGATTTAAAAAGGATTTTTGATAAATAAGCTTATAACTAGCTATTAGGTAAAACTAAACTATTTAAGGTTAAAGGAAAGTTAACTGTGCCTTCCATATGCTGTCCCTCTCTCTCAGAAATAAAATGCCAGATTAATTATACAGACCACAAGTTTAACCCCAGTGTCAATTCTTATGTTATTCAATTTGGAAACTGGGTCACAACTTTTTGATACTCTTTGCAAGTAAAAGATTCTGAAGCTTCCGAGAGTTAGACCTCAGATTGAAAATTTACTAATTCATCTTTATAGACAAAGCAGCTCTGACAAAATGTCTACTCCTTTTTAAGACTCTCATAGTCATAATATGATTCTTAGTTCCCTGTAACTGTCTCCTAGCTTGGTTCCTATTGCAGCCTTTCCTTCCTGCATATTGCTGCCAAAAAAGTCTGCTGAAAACACTGCTCTTAACACATCTCTGCTGACCAACCCAGTGACTCACTCTCCACTGCCTACTGCTTCAACTCTGAAGTCTTCAGCCTGGCCTTTCCTCATATGATTTGGCCCTAACTCATCAATCAATATTCATCAATATTAACTCTTACCGTCTCTCAGAAAATGCATCCTCTGCTCTAGTCAACCTCATATCTTCCTCCTTCTTTAGCCAGTGGTTCCCTGGCTTGCCTGTGCATCAGAATAGCCTGTGATGACTCTAAGGCCCTGCCTCAAACCATCTAACTCAGGAGCAGCTCAGGGGTGGGGTCAGAAACCAACAATATTTTATTTTATTTATTTATTTTTTTTTTTAGTGAGGAAGACTGGCCCTGAGCTAACATCTATTGCCAATCCTCCTCCTTGTTTTCCCTTTTTCTCCCCAAAGCCCCAGTAGATAGTTGCATGTCGTAGTTGCACATCCTGCTAGTTGCTGTACATGGGACACCGCCTCAGCATGGCCGGACAAGCGGTGCATCGGTGCACACCCGAGATCCAAACCCGGGCTGCCAGTAGCGGAGCGAGAGCACTTAACTGCTAAGCCACGGGGCCGGCCCCCCAACAATATTTTAAAAGCTTTCCAGGGGCCGGCCCCGTGGCTTAGCGGTTAAGTGCGCACACTCCGCTGCTTGCGGCCAGGGTTCGGATCCCCGGCGCGCACTGACGCACCGCTTCTCCGGCCCTGCTGAGGCCGTGTCCCACGTACAGCAACTAGAAGGATGTGCAGCTATGACATACAACTATCTACTGGGGCTTTGGGAGAAAATAAAATAAATAAATAAAATCTTTAAAAAAAAAAAAATTTCCAAATGAATCTGATGTAATAGTTCAATGCTAGTTCGGCTGACAGCATTTGCCAACTTTACAAACTCAGTCCTTCTCGGGTACTCATTATTTTTCTGTCTGGCATGTTCTTACAACTAACCTCCATTTATTCACCTATATCCTACACCCCTCTCTCTTCTGTAAAAATCTCCATTTCTTCTGCCCACTCTTTCCTCTGTCTTCTTTGGACTAGGGGGGCATTTCTAGTTTGAAGGAATGGTTTCCTATTTCTCCTAATTAGGTCACTGACTTTTTAAGAACTGAGACCATCTCAAAGCTGTTTGACTCTACCACCTCTTAGCTATATAATCTCTGTGCCTCAATTTCTTTACCTGTGAAATGGAAATATTATCATCATCTCTCAGAGTAGTTGTGAGGATCAAAATGGTCAGTACATGAAAAGCAGTTTAGCACAATGCCTGGTACACAATAAACATTAGCCATTACCAGTATTAGGATCAACTAGAGCACAGAAAAGACTGAGTGCAGATAGATCCTGGTGTGAATAACTAGGCTGGATAAGATGGTGAAGGGGAAATAGAAATGGATCAAATACAAATGGTAACAGGATGGAAGAAGCACAACACTTGGTGACTGACTGGACTGGTGGTAGGAGGAGGAAGAAAATGAAGTGAAGGATGCCTCTAAAATTTCTGAAGGGTAGTAGTATGCAGCAGAATTTCTCTTCTTAGAGGCTAAATGGATATAGCTTTCCTGACCTCCAAGGTTTGATAAGATCATTTTTCTTCTTCCCCAATAACTCAAGGCCCACCTCAGAGTAAAGGATAAGAGCTGAACCAATTCGAGTTGAAGCTCTTGATCACAGTCAATGTTTTTCTGTTTACAGCAGTCTCACAAATTTAGACTGGCTCTAGAATGTACTTTCACATGGGCATACTGTACAAGGTTATTAACACAAATCTGGAAACAAACCTAGATGTCTGCTAAGAGTGTCTGATTAATAAATTATGGTATATCTGTACAATGGAATATTATAAAGCTGTAAAAAATGTTGAGAGAAGCCTCCATGAGATATGCTATTTTTTTTGTGTGTGTGAGGAGGATTCACCCTGAGCTAACATCTGTTGCCAATCTTCCTCGTTTTTTGCTTGAGGAAGACTAGCCCTGAGCTAACATCTGTTGCCAATCTTCCTCGTTTTTTGCTTGAGGAAGATTAGCCCTGAGCTAACATCTGTGCCAATCTTCCTCTATTTTTGCATGTGGGTCACCACCACAGCATGGCTGATGAGTGACGTAGGTCCGCAACTGGGATCCGAACCCGTGAACCCTGGGCTGCCGAAGCGGAATGCACTTAACTTAATTTAACCACTACACCATGGGGCTGGCCCTAAGATATGCTATTTTTTGACAGAAGAAGAAAAGGAGATGAAAAACAGTGTGTACAAAGAAAGGAGGGCAAATAATACGTATTTTGCTTGTACATGAATAAAGAAATTCTGGAAAGAAACATAGAAGGCTAATATAGTCATGCGTCACTTAACAACGGGGATCATTCTGAGAAATGCGTTGATGGGTGATTTCACTGTTGTTCAAACATCACACAGTGTACTTACACAAACCTAGAGGGTATAGCCTACTACAAACCTAAGATATATGGTACTAATCTTATGGCACCACTGTGGTATGCACAGTCCGTCACTGATCGAAACGTTGTTATTTGGTGCATGACTGTAGTACCTAGAGATAGGACATGGGTAGATGGGAGAATATGAGCAGGAAGACAACTTTTCACTGTTCACTAATTAACTCTTGATTTTTGAACCATTTATAAAAAGTTAAATGAATAGAATTAAACAAAAAAAGTAGCCCTAAAATATCTTGGGGTTGGAGATACTGGGCATCTGAACTGACTTAGACTTCTTGAAATATTAAGGAACAGGGATGAATGGGATCAGTGTAGGCTTTCTGTGATTATTCGCAGTCCCTTATGACAAGACCCACTTCATGAAGTCTCAGAACAGGTATGCTACTCAAACTCCCTGACACTGCACGTAGCCAACACAAACAAATATTAGGAGCAGCTATTTTAAAGTCAGTATAGAGAGGTGAACGGGCCTTTAAATCATCTGGCCACTGTGGTTTTTATTTTGTGATAACTTTTTGGCACTTATAAATATTAAGAGGCACAATAACATGAGGGAGATAAAATCTGTTCCCTCACTGCCTGGAAATTATTTGCCTTAAGAGGGTAAATAATTTTTACTCTATGGTCTGGAAAGATATCAAATCATAAAAATGTAAAAGGACTTTGTACACCAGGATACAGAGTTCCGTTTTGCTTAAGAATTAAGTCTTTGGTTACAAGAAAAAGTGAGTATTACAAATAAGATGCCAAATGGAATATTCACAATGAAGCTAATAACTTAGCTGGACACCAGGAAGACGGAAGAGTAGAGAGGGAGGCTCTAAGAGCTGGAAGATCTTGAGGGCTTATTTCTATAAGCTTATGTAGGTTTCCAGTGGAAAAGTAGAAACAGAACAGCAGTGAAAGTGGACAATGCACCAACAGGCTTTAACCCTGTAGTTTTTGGGTTGTAAACAGTAATTAATTACAATATCCTTACAAGATGGCTATAGCTACCCATTTTCAAGCTGATTTACTCCAAATCTGAGTTAGAAATAGAGCTAGTTTCCATACAACTCGTTGTCTTTCAGAAGAGTTAGCAGACTTGTTCTATACTAGAGAACAAAACTGTGGGTGGACGTCACAATGAAGTGGAATTTAGCTCAATATAAAGAATCATGCAGTAACTAGATCTGCTAACAGACTGCAACTAGATTCTGCTACCACATTAAGTAATGAGCTCCATATTCAATTAAATCATCTCGAATACATGCAACACACTGTAGCAGGCACAATGGGTACTGTGATATTGTGATATAATAAGAAATATGTATATTTGGCTTTCATCCTGGTTCCTGGCACAAAGCTCCTAAATCCCTTGGAATTTCCTGAGTGATAGGGGCTAAAGGAATGACTTTTGTTATTCATAACAAACCCCTTTCGAGCCAGCCTTGATGGCCTAGTGGTTCAAGTTCAATGCGTTCTGCTTCAGCGGCCCTGGTTGAGTTCCCAGGTGCAGAACGACACCACTCATCTGTCAGTAGCCATGCTGTGGCAACAGCTCACAAAGAAGAACTAGAAGCACCTACAACTAGAATATACAACTATGCACTGGGGCTTTGGGGAAGAAAGAAAAAAAAGAGAGAGAGGAATATTGGCAACAGATATCAGCTCAGGGTGAATCTTTCCCAGCAAAAAAAAAAAAAAAAGAACCCCCTTTCAACCATACCTGGGTCTATGCTAATGTGGTGACTCTTGGTGAGCCCTTAGATAGCTTCAGGCTGGGGGCTGGGTGTCAGAGTTTGACCACGTGATTAGAGGGTTGGAACTTTCAGCTCTACTCCTTGATCTCCAGCGAGAGGAGAGGGCTGGAGATGGAATTAATTACCAATTGCCAGTGGCTTACTCATTCATGCCTATGGAATGGAACCTCCATGACGGGGTTCAGAGAGTTTCCTGGTTGGTGGACACACTGAGGTGCTGGGAGGGTGCTGCACCGAGAGAGGGCAGGGAAGCTGCAGAGCTCCTTGCCCCCATACCTCGCCCTGTGCATCTCTTCCATTTGGCTGTTCCTGAGTGGTATCCTCTATAATAAGCTGGTAACAGTAAGTAAACTGTTTTCCTGATTGCTGTGAGCAACTCTAGCAAATTACTGAACCTAAGGAGGGGGTCATGGGAACCCCTGATTAATATATATTTCATGAAAACAGCATAAACTCATTGGGAAGTTTAGAATATACAAAAAAGTAATTCTATCACCCAGAGGTAACAACTGCTTAAACTATTTAAAGTCATGGCTGTCAGAGGATTTCCACCAAATGCTAAAAGAACTTGGGGGAAAAAAACTGGCCAATATGACTAAATTAATATTCGAGCTCTAGAGTTTTGCCTTTATGTGTGGATTAAGGAAGTAAAATGTCACTCACAGAGATAAGAGTATATTTGGTTTTCAGGTGAGGCTGGCTCAAGGGTCACAAACACCACAAATGTAATAAATACTTGTTCTCCCATAAGGAGTTCAATAACATTATTTTCAACTAAAAGAACAGGTTTTAGCTTTACCTGCTGAGGCAAAAATTTGAGCTGCTTATGAGAGGGTATATGGTAGATTAATGAATGCTACTGAGGAAGCAACATAAAGAAATCTGGATAGGGGAACCACCACCCATCATCCCATCAACCAGCACAATGTCTGCACATCACCATTGCCTTCTTGTCTGGAGGCTTGTAATTATTACCCTGTTGCACCAGTGGACTACGTTCTGACAAAATTTCTACTTTGGGCTAGGCACTGGACCAGCTCCCATTTCTCTCTAAGTTGCTATATTTACAGAATTTAATGGGATGCCCAGCTCATACAGTAATAACAATAATTAATGATGTAATAACAAGCCACTTTATAACGGTACCTTTACTGTGTTTTGTTTTAGTTTCATATATATAACAAAGTGGAGTTCAGCTTCAGAGATGTTAAATATAAGCAACTAGCTTTTAATAAATGCAATTTGGCAATATGTCAAAAGCCTTAAAATGTGCAAAGGATGTTTGTTCAAGTATTATTTATAATAGCAAAAAATACATCGGCAACCTAAGATTCCAACAAAAGGGAATTATTTAAACACTGGTGCATCCCCATAATAGATTATTATTTAGTCAGTAAACATTTTTAAGATAAATATATACTGATATATTCATAATACAGTAGTGAAAAACAACACATACAAAGTGATCCCATTTTTGTTAAGTGTGTATGAAATCTAATTGTGCCAGGCTTCACCATCCTGTGAATGTCATACTTCCATTCTTACAGTCAAATTATTATGGCACAAGACTGAACTGGCTTAAATGTTAGTTACTATTTCCCCTCAAAGTATCCCTCAAGTTGTTACTGTCCTGAAAAAAGATGCCTTACATAATGGACACCAGGTTTGTCAGCCACATTCACCATGCAGGACCCATCTTCCTGCTCTGATTCTCACTTTACCTTCACCACTGTCCATAAAGCCACATGGAGAAACCTCTGTCCAGGCCCTCTTGAAAATGCTAAGGTCAGAGCCAAAGGAATGACTCCACAGGCTCCCAAAGCTTTCAAACCTTGGGAAAGAATGTCCTTCTTCCTTCACTCAGAAGTTCTCACAGCTACCAATGGATGCAAACAGATGCTAGGGAAAGGGTGAGGGGTTTGCGCTGGTAGCCTCGACGTTCCAGTTTAGCCAGACAAAAAGTGCCCTGTTACATACATATGTGCCAAGAAAAAGGTCTGGAAGGGTTTACACCAAGCTGTCAACAACAGTTATCTTTTAGTATTCTGGAAGTTTTTCCTTTTCTTTTTTGTTTATTTGTGATTTTATAATTTTCTTCAATGAACAGGGTTTGTTTTTGAGGCAGGAAAAACACAATTTTTTAAGTTAAAAAATTAAATATTTAAGTAGGAAATACATAACTGAGAACCACTTCCTTAAAGAGAAAACTGTAAGAATAACTTCTGAGACTAATATTCATAGTCATCTGGCCTCTAATTCTGCCCCCAATGCCAAGCCTCCTCCTCTCCCATCGTTACTTACATTCCTGAAGACATTCTGTGTCTGTGCAGTAGGACTGGGACTGCCTCAACTACAATGAACAAGAAGAAAAGAAGTTAGCCACTGGACTTAACCAAAAATGGATACGATTTATTAGAAAAATGTTTTGTTTTTTAGTGAATGCTACCACAGTATATATTGTTACCTTCAAAATCAGCTACAAACACAGAACACGTTGAGGGGCTGTTCAGTTTGGGGGAATTTTTTTCTACTCAAAATAACTTTCAAATGTACTGTGATCTAGTGCAATTCACCTACTTAAATTTAGGACAGAAACTCCTGCTGCCATATGTTTTAGACTTTCCAAAGGAAAACGCACTAAACTATAGAGGAGAGCTACTAGAAAAAGAGTAAACTTTGTTAAGGAGATTTTTTTTCTTTTCTTTTTTTTTTTTTTTGTGGGGAGATCAGCCCTGTGCTGACATCTGCCAATCCTCCTCTTTTTTTGCTGAGGAAGACTGGCCCTGGGCTAACATCCGTGCCCATCTTCCTCCACTTTATATGGGACGCCGCCACAGCACGGCTTGCCCAGCAGTGCGTCAGTGCGCGCCCGGGATCCGAAACTGCGAACCCTGGGCCACCACAGTGGAGCGCGTGCACTTAACCACTTGTGCCACCAGGCTGGCCCCTAGATTTTTTTTCTTTTCTTTTTTTTTTTAAAGACTTTATTTTTATTTATTTTTTCCCCCCAAAGCCCCAATAGATAGTTGTGTGTCATAGCTGCACATCCTTCTAGTTGCTGTATGTGGGACGTGGCCTCAGCATGGCCGGAGAAGCAGCATGTCGGTGTGAGCCCGGGATCCGAACCCGGGTCGCCAGCAGTGGAGCGCGCTCACTTAACCGCTAAGCCACGGGGCCGGCCCTAGATTTTTTTTCTTATTGAAAATTAGAAGTAGACAGAGAAAAAACAGATTCAATTTGTAGAAAATGCACCTTTGAAAGGAAGGAACATATCTTTTTCCTCTTTGCTTACGTCTGCATAAACAGTGGTTGAATAAATAAGAAACTAATAAAAATGGCTACCATAGGGGTTGAGGGTGGGATGGAGGAATAGAGCAGGCTCTGACAGAGATGGGAGCTAAGTTTTCAATGTTCACCTTTTTACATAATTTATTTTTAGAATCATGTGATTATCAATTTTAAAAAGAATGTTAAACAGAAAAAAACCTATCTATCAATAAACATACATCATCCTTTTATGAATGTTTGCCTTATGCTGAGGCCTTTTAGGATGTTTAGAAATGATAATCTCATAAATCTTAAAACAGAGATGACTACACAGTAAAGAGAATAAGGAGCATGCAACTTTTCAATTCAGCCTCATTACTTGATAATGACACCCTCTCTCCATTAAAGCAGTAACTCATAACCTACAATTGTTTGGGGAAGCAATTACAGAGCAGTCATGCTTAGCTGGTTAAGCAGGGGCTCTGCAGAAAGACAGACGTTGATTTTTTTTTTTTTATTTTTTTTATTTTTTTAAAGATTTTATTTATTTAATTTTTCCCCCCAAAGCCCCAGTAGATAGTTGTATGTCATAGCTGCACATCCTTCTAGTTGCTGTATGTGGGACTCGGCCTCAGGATGGACGGAGAAGTGGTGCCTCGATGCGCACCCGGGATCCGAACCCGGGCCACCAGCATTGCAGCGCGCGCACTTAACCACCAAGCCACAGGGCCGGCCCCAGACGTTGATTTAAAGTCTGGTTCTGCAGCTGCCTGGAGTTTCAAGACCTTGGGCAAGTTCTTTAACACCTCTAAGCTTCGCTTTCCTCATCTGGTAAAATGGGGATAATATTACCTATATCTGAGTACTAGTGAGGATTAAAATAGAGATGCATGTGAAATGTAGAAACAATCCAAGATATGTTAGCTATTATTATTACTGTGCCACACAAATTATGACCTCATCTAAACAATTATTGAAATTAATAACTAAACAAATCATTTTGTATATTGTTTTCTAAGACGATCAGGCTTGCTTTGGTGTACCACTAAAAGTAGTCCTATTTGAATTAGAATGGGAAAATAGATCTTAATTAATATCAAAATATGCTGCCCTTTCTAAACATGAAAGAAATCAATCCAAAAACTCTTTAAAAATTATACATTCTAAAGAAATTGGAAAAAAGACTATTAGACCCTTGGATCACAAAATGGAACAAATAAACCTCTTAATTTGCATATATTTTATTTTTTCCCAATAATTAATATGTATATACAGTACAAAATTCAAAAGTACAAAATGATATTCTGTGCAAGGTAAATCTCCCATTCTCTCCTGTCCTTCAGCCTCCCCAGCACTCAGTTTTTTGTCTATCTCTCTAGAAAGGTTCTTACATTTTTATAAGCGTATGTATTTTTCCCCATTACTCCTCCACCTCCAAGTAGCATTGTAGAGAATGTAAAACAAAAAGAGATTTATTAGGTGAAAAGGTCTTTGGATTGAACAAGAACGATCTAAATCACTAAGATATCAAATCTACTCAACTGATTATCCTGGGTTTAACCTTTAGCAATGACATAGCATATCCCAAAATCTATGGCTGTGATCTAAACGACCAATAAATTATCAGTTCATTGTACGTTATGTAATACAATGCCAGCCTTGGCTTTTGGCTATAGCCCTATTTGTCCTTGTCTCAAGGTCTGACTTGCTGTCGTTAGCTCAGTGATATCTATAAATTACATGATTTCCATTACAAAGCCCCGAAATCTTTATACATCCATTTCCTCACAAATCTACTTCCATGTAGGGCCACATCACCAGCTCTAGGCTCCTTCCTCATGCCTCTATCAGTCCCATCCTCCTTTTCCAGTGTGACTCTACCAGATGCTCACTGTTCTTTTTTCTCCTCCCTGTGACTATCTGTGTCTGGGTTTCACCCCACACCCTTGTAGTGGGTTTATGGCCTACAGCAGGGGTCACCAAACTACAACCTGTAGGCTGGAGACCTATTTTTATAAATAGTTTTCCTGAAACATAGCCACACCCATTCATTTACACAGTGTTGCTTTCATTACAACAGTTGAGTTGAGTAGTTCCCACAGAGACCCCAAGCCTTAAATATTTACTATTTGGGCCTTAAATCACTGAACACTGCTGATAACGACATCAAGTTAAAGATACCTAAGAGATACGCATGGGATAAGAGATAAAAAATATTTGTGTAGCTATATAAAAATGTTTATTTAGAAATGTGAGATGCTCATTAATTATGTCCAGTTATAACACAACAATCATTTATTCACTTATTCAAAATATTTACAGAATGCCTACTCTGTGCCAAGTATAATTTCAGGTACTGGGGCTATGGTGTGAAAAAGACAAAGTTTCTACTCTTATGGATCAAACAGTCTTGTGGGGGAAATCAGACAATTAACAAGTATATTATAAAAATGTCAGAGAGCCAAGCAGGTACCGAAAATAGGATGGCATGACACAGTGGCAGCAGCCACTTTAAATTAGGCAGACAGAGGCAGTAACACTTAAGGGGCTATCTGCATGATAGCAAAGATCAAGCAGATGAGCATTCCAGGCATTCCAGGCAGAGTAAACAACTAGGAAAGGCTCCTAGGTGAAAAGGTGCCTATGAGTTGGTGATGAGGAAACACAAAGCCACTGTGGCTGGAGCATATGAGTCACGTTACTTAGCTGTTGTGTTTAGTCAATCTCAGAACCAAATGCTCTCTCTATATGCTCAAATCATTACAGCTTGCTGTTAATGTCATTTGTCTGACTGCCTCTAAGACACCAATATATAACAGATACCTGTATGTTTTATCAGTGTGGAATAGGAATACTTTCTCATACTATTTGAAATATATTTAAATACAACAATATGTTAAAATTTAAAAATTATATTATTTTTTAAATTATTTATTATAACAACTTATAATTTATGTTACATATTATATAATAAAAATAACAGTACGGAATACTTAGAAATTAATGTGGATTAACTCACTGCTCTAACACAATTATCATTATTATGTATTTTTTCTAGTCTCAAAATATGCACACTTTCACATAATTACATACATAACTACATATGTAATACACGTACATAATTACAATTATTACAATAAATATGTATTGGGAACTTGTATGTGATAGGTACTATACTAAGAACTTTTATTTTTTTTTGTGAGGAAGATCAGCCCTGAGCTAACATCCATGCCAATCCTCCTCTTTCTGCTGAGGAAGACCAGCTCCAAGCTAACATCTATTGCCAATCCTCCTCCTTTTTTTTTTCCCCCAAAGCCCCAGTAGATAGCTGTACGTCATAGTTGCACATCCTTCTAGTTGCTGTATGTGGGACGCAGCCCCAGCATGGCCGGAGAAGCAGTGCGTTGGTGCGCACCCGGGATCCTAACCCAGGCCGCCAGTAGCGAAGCGTGCGCACTTAACCGCTAAGCCATGGGGCCGGCCCAATATACTAAGAACTTTACTTTGTTATCTCATTTAATCCTCACAACCACTGGCAGGAGGCAGGTGCTATCATTCCTACTCTACTGATGAAGAAACTTGAGTTTGGGGGAGGTTAGCTAATTTATATCCAATACTAACTCCAAAGTCTAAATTCTTAATCACAATTCCATTCTACTTTACAATGTACAAAATTTTGTATCACAATTTTAGTGAACATATCATTAGCATGAAACATTCTCTCAACCGCAATTTTGAATGGTTACAAAACACTCCAGTAAGTTGAGGTACTATATAATTGAACTGAAGGGGCCGGCCCCATGGCATAGTGGTTAAGTGCGTGCGCTCCGCTGCTGGCGGCCCGGGTTCGGATCCCGGGCGCACACCGACACACCGCTCGTCAGGCCATGCTGTGGTGGCCTCCCATATAAAGTGGAGGAAGATCGGCACGGATGTTAGCTCAGGGCCAGTCTTCCCTCAGCAAAAAGAGGAGGATTGGCTTTCTGGGCTTTCAATTCTATTCCATTGATCTGTGTGTCTGTTTTTGTGCCAGTACCATGCTGTTTTGGTTACTATAGCTTTGTAGTATATTTTGAAATCAGG